TAAAGGCAATTAGCAGTCCCAGGAAGGATCCTTCAGTTATATAAAATTGTGTCGTATGAAATGTCATGGCTCCACTCATAATTTTGTCTTGTTCTTCCGATTGGTGTATACAACTTGCAGAGCTCTTGTATTTGGAAGGCTGGAAGGGCCCAGACTTGGAAATAGTGTCTTGTTTTCACTGTTTTTGTTTTTTGTTTTTGTTTTTGTTTTTTTTTTAACTAAAGCTATATAAAGCTGTGGATTAAACAGAATAAATTTCTAAATTTAAAAGTGTTTGGCCACTCACTTTCACTTACCCGTCTCAGTCAATACTGTAGGAAGCCTACCTTTCTTAGAAATCTTATAGTGCCTACATTTTTACCCCCTAGGCACCTTTGGCAGAGTGAGGGTTGGGCAAGGGAAATAAACGGTGATGAAATTAAGGTTTTACCATCTTTGTTTTAGTAATTAATGTGATAAGTGCTATGAAGCAAAGTGCACAGTGCAGTTGGAACATACACAATGGGCAGGGCAAGTCAAGCAGACGTAGGTGAAGAGAAGAGCATTTCACGTGCAGCAAACAGTATCTGTGTATGCCCTGAGGCAGAAGGAGCCTGGCATGTTCCAGCAAGGGAATGAAGGCTAAGGAATGACTGGAGCAGTCTTCTCCTATCCGTCATGAGTGTGCAGATGTGTTTAATTTTGGCTCTCCACAGTCAAGTCATTTTGCATTTAAGATTTAGCAGAGCAGAATAATTTGAGGAAACTTGGAGTTGATAACATTGTATAAGGTAAAACAGCAACATTCATATGAAAAAAGTAAAAGGAAATTTTTGACACCATGAATCTAAGCTGATCAGGTTAACATGTGGACAGTTAATTTGATTATGATTTCTAGCAGTTGATGCAAAAAGAGAAAGAAAATGCCTCCAAGTCTGAATTTCAGGAAAACTTAGCTAGAATTTTTTTACCTAAAGGACATGGACATAGAGGAGCTGTTTTTACAGGTGGGTTTTAAAAGTGATTTGTAGCAAGGCAAAAGCTTAGTGAAGGGCCGGCCCGGTGGCTTGGCGGTTAAGTGCGCGCACTGTGCTGCCGGCGGCCCGGGTTCGGATCCCGGGTGCGCACTGACGCACCGCTCCTCTGGCCATGCTGGGGCCGCGTCCCACATACGGCAACTAGAAGGATGTGCAGCTATGACAGACAACTATCTGCTGGGGCTTTGGGGGAAAAATAAATAAATAAAAAATCTTTAAAAAAAAAAAAAAAGCTTAGTGAAGCTGCTGCTTTAGGGCCTGAACTAAGGGAGTCTCCATGATTACCTCCATACTAATCTCCATGGAGTGACTCCATGACTGGTAAGAGAGCCTCACATGTGCCTAAGGATCTTCCACACGACTTCCGTTGGACTTTATAATTCTGTGATGTAGGAAAAGCACAAAATATCTAGTTTCTAAGATGGTTGTTGCGGATTTATCCCTTCCAATGTGGACAAACCTGTGAACATCACTGGGGTACTTCATCTATCTAGCCAATCATTCATTCATTCAGTCCGTTTATTCACTAGGCCTTCATTCCTCCACTTGACTAAACTGCTCTGGTTAGGGTTAGCAGTAACCTCTATTTTGCCAAAGTGAATGTTCAGTTTTCGATCCTTACTTCACTAGCCCTCTCAGCAGGTTTTGGCTCAGTTGTTCACCTCGTTGATGAAACACTTTCTTGGGTGCTAGGAGGCAACACTGGTTTATCTTCTAGATGGGACACTAGTTTTCTTCCTACCTCACTAGCTGTTGCTGTTTATCTCTAGTGGATCTTTTCAATCATGAAGTGATGGAGTTTGTCTTTTTTGTCCTCGGTGGCCTTCCCTACATTTAATCCCTAATCCCTTGACTTCAGATGTCATCTTTTTGTTGATGTGTCAAGTTTCTTTCCAGTCTAAACGTCCTCCTGAGCAAGACCCCTATCTAGGTACATACCTACTTGATAACTCCATTTGGATGTCTAAAAGGCGTACCGAATTGAACGTGTCTAAAATAGAGGTTTTTTTTAATACCATCCTCTGATCTTATACCTGTCTCATTTTAACTTGTCACCCTCATTTACTCAAAATTGAATCAATACTGTCAGTGGCAGTATTGTCCACCCTCTCACACTCATGCACACAAAGGCTATTCCATTCCCAACAGCCTAAGTCAGATCACAGTACTACTCAAAACTCGCGGATGCCTTTCTGCCTCAGAGTAAAATCCAGATTTCTAACTGGCCTGCAAGACCCAATAGCACTGGGTTGAATCTGTGTTAGCCACTTCATCCCCACTCCTCAATCTGCTTAAGCCATATCTGCTGCCTTCCTCTTTAACCCTTCAAAGTTGATTTCTCTTTCATGCCTTCATTTCCACTGTTCCCTCACCTTGGAAGGCACGGCCTCCCAATCTTCTGACTTGTTTCCTTACTTGGTTTTCCTGAGACAGGCTTCCCTAACTGCCTCTCCTCCTTTGTTTTCATATATGGCAATTACTGCCTGAAATGATAGTTTTTGGTCCTTAGGAACTTGGTCTTGTTAACTGTGTCCCCAGTGCCTGGTACATAGTAGAAGCACAAATAATTGTGCTTCTGTGATGATGAACAGATGAATAAATAAGTTTAATTGGGCCGGCCCCGTGGCTTGGTGGTTAAGTGCGCGCGCTCCGATGCTGGTGGCCCGGGTTCGGATCCCGGGCGCGCACCGAGGCACCACTTCTCCGTCCATCCTGAGGCCGAGTCCCACATACAGCAACTAGAAGAATGTGCAGCTATGACATACAACTATCTACTGGGGCTTTGGGGGGAAAAAATAAATTAAAAAAAAAATAAAATAAGTTTAATTGACCGTTATTGCCTCCATACTTGCCAGAAGCTGCTGGAGTTTGAGGTAAAGAAAATGAAAAGACATGATAATTGCTGCCCTCAAGGAGTATTTGCCTACTGGGGCCATAGACATGCAAACAACAATTGGGAGTGGAGAGAACACAGTTTAGAGTCTGGTAGACCAGGATTTCTACCATAGCTTTCTACTGTGTAACGTTGGTCAAGTTACTTGACCTCTAAATGCTGTCATTTCCTCTTTTATATGATGGAAATAATGGTGGAATCTACCTCAGAGTTGTTTTTGAAGATTTAAATGTCAGTTAATACATACAAAGCAATGATAGCACAAAGAGAGATTTCCATTTTCTTAATTAACATGATATTCTAGTAATTATGGCAAATTTGAGTTTAGATGTCCAAGAAGGATTTTAGATCATAGCCGTCTTCAATTCAATTTTATTCTTTTTCTTTTTTAGATATCATTCACATAGCATAAAATTCACCTTTTTTTTTTGGTGAGGAAGATTAGCCCTGAGCTAACATCTGTCACCAATCCTCTTTTTGCTGAGGAAGATTGGCCCTGAGCTAACATCCATGCCATCTTCCTCTACTTTATATGGGACGCCACCACAGCATGGCTTGACAAGAGGTGCATCGGTGCGTGCCCAGGACCCAAACCTGTGAACCCCAGGCCACCGCAGCAGAGTGCGCGCACTTAACCGCTATGCCACTGGGCCAGCCCCTAAAATTCACCATTTTAAAGTGTGTAATTCAGTGGTATTTAATATATTCACAAGGTTATGCAACCATCACCACTCTCCATTCCAGAACATTTTCATCACCTCAAAAAGAAACTGGGCCCATCAGCAGTCACTTCTCATTCTCCCGACAGTCCCCCCAGCCCCAGCCCCTGGCAACTACTTTGTTTCTTTAGATTTGTCTATTCTGGACATTTCATTGGAATCATACAATATGTAGCCTTTTGTGTCTGTCTGCTTTCATTATAGCATAATGTGTTCAAGGTTCAGCCACGGTACTTCATTTCTTTTTATTGCTAAATAGTATTCCCTTGTATGGATATACCACATTTTGTTTATCCATTCATCTGTTGGACATTTGGGCTGTTTCCACTTTCCCACTATTATGAATAAAGCTGCTGTGAACATTTGCATACAAGTTTTGTGTGGACATGTTTTCTCTTAGGTATATATATATACCTGGGAGTGGAATGGCTGGGTCACATGGTAACTCAACTATTTTAGAAACTGCTAGACTATTTTCCAAAGCAGTTGCACCATCTCAAATTTCCACCAGCAGTATATGAGGCTTCCAGTTTCTCCACATCCTTGCCAACACTTGTTACTTGTCATTTTGATTCTAACCATCCTAGTGGGTGTGAAGTAGTATCTCATTGGGGTTTGATTTGCATTTCCCTGATGACTAATGATGTTGAGCATCTTCACATGTGCTAATATACCACAATGCCGTTTTAAGCTGATTGGTCTCAGCATGAAAATATTTCTGAGATTATGGCTGTAGGTTTCTCAGAGTCTCGAGCGAGCTGATAATACATTTGTAAAGGGCTTTGTAGTGCTCTCATACCTATTGTGGAGGTTGGGGCTGGGGGACTATGGCCAAAGAAAAATTGGTTTCCATTTGTAAAGAGGATCCAGGAGGCTCAGGGAGAGTGTGACTTACTTAAGGTAATGGGTAGATGCAGGTCTAGTTAATATTGTCCCTCCCACCATCTGATAACTCTATTTTTCTCAATATACCTGTCTAGTGTAATAATCACGTAAGATAATGAATGTAGAAACACTGCCCAAATATGTGTGGTTATTAGAAGAGCATTAGGATTTAGGGTGTAGCTTAT